TGACAGAAAGCAACAGAAGGAACTTATATATATAATGCTACAAAACATTTCATTTTTTTAATTTGAATTTGAAATCTTGTCCCTATTTTTTTCTCTTTTCTCATTCATTTTTTTTCTATACCAAAGTGTTCCATTTATTATATTCAATTCTATTATCTATCAGTGGCAGGAAGGTTGACTTGTCTTTTCATGAAGACTAGTTTTCTAAATATCTGTCAAATCATCTTCCTTTTCAGTGGAAATTGTGAACCATTCTACGACCTATCTGTCACATTATGCGGGGTTCAAATAAAATTGCATTGACTTGAATAGAAATAATGATCCTTACAATATTTAAAATGATTTAAACATAGACTGCTTCGCTATCAATATGATAATACTGTGTTTCAAAATTGTATTTTATCTATATGAAAAGCTTCATCCATGCGTATATTGTGTGCTTAAATGTTTTCAAAACATTTTTAAATCCTTCGATAAATAGACTGGTTAAGGTGCCAGATTTGAAATATACACCTGTATACCTCATTCAGAATACCCTCTACAATTCCGCGGTTAAGTTAATCTCCAAATAAAATTTGAAGTTTAATTGAGTCCACATGGATGGTTCATCGGTGGTTATATTGCTTGCAACCGTTCCTGGACCTCCAAAAGTTATTTAAAGTAAATGTAACAAACAAAAATACATGGGTTTGAAAACAATTCTATACATAGGCTATTCTGCAGATCGCTGCTATAACAGAAGGTAACCGTAATGATATGGGCTTAATGAAACCTGGCGTAGCAGTCAGCCGGATGAAACACTTAAGTAGTTGAAAATTTTGTAATTGTTATAATTATCACAATAACTTCTTACGCCAGCACCGCCTTCTTTGCAGGGCTAAATTAGATAGTGACTTTTAGTTACAGCTAACCGTCATGAGTTTCCTATTTTTATGGCTTTTAATAACACATAGTGTGATCTCTAATCAATCTATACAACAAAACTAATACTTAAAAAGATGAAAAATGTAATATACTTCTTAAAAAGAGATGAATAGAAGATACAAAGGTCTTGCATTGCACATAAATTTGTTTAGAGAAAATCGTGCAAAAGCATAAATTTACGTATATAATGCGGAAGTCTAAGTTTAAGATATTTTGTCATTTACATATTAAGTACATGATACATTTGCAACTTTGCAAATGTTATGAGTTTTAAATAACTAGTTTGAACAAAGAGAAGAAACTAGCTCATAACTTGGTCAACTCTAAAAAATACTTTTATACGAAACCTCACATTTGTGTCAAAGACAAAGCGAATTCTGACAATAGTTAAAGATGTCAAAATATTTCTTATTCATCAAATTTGTTTAGAAGTATTCCGACCATGTGTCATTTTAATAGTGCATTACTAACAATTTAAACATATATTGTATTGTTCCTGACAGATTTGTAACTTATCGTTCAATCACAAACTGATTTTTTTGTGTTTTCATACTCGTTAAAGATATTCAGAGTTTTACAAATGTTATGGAATTTATAAGATAAACTGTCAACTTTTATTAAATCTCCTGTCCAAACATAATATTATCACCATATCGCGTGCGGCGTTTGATAAATGGCCAAGATTGGCGTAAGGTCACGATTTGATATTCAAGTCCTCTATCATATACATGCTGGTCATACAATTTGTCTGGTAGGGGGTCGATTCAGGATCAATGTCATCGCAAAAAATGGTTACAAAAGTATCAAAGGGACTTGTGTTATCTAAAAACATATTTAAGTACTTTTTAGATTTATCTGGGAAGACAGGGGAAGACATTCTGTTTTCACAATTTGGAATTGAAGTTACCAAAACATTAAAGCCAGATAAAATATTTGTACGGGATCAACTGGGCTCGGGGAAGCATTACGGGAAATAGCCATATCTACAACAATTACATCAGCAAAATATTTAATAAAATAACCAATTCTTTTGGAAATCGTTGCCGTCTATAAATAGTATGCAAATATTCCCTAAAGACCGGGTTTTTTGTCAGATTAGTTAAAAATGTTGTATGCAAACAAGAAGTTCAGATAAGATTTTTTGCAAGGTCACGCTGCGGGGGACGTTTTCTAACAGCAATCCGGAAAAGGGCTCTTAATGTTGAGAAAGGGTCAGATCAGAGGTCAAGCTGGGCCGCGAGATAGGCCATATAAAAGTCATATAACTTCTACCTGGTAATCGAAGTTCTTCTTAAAAATACGGTCAACAAGTGATTTAAGACGTCGATTAAGTAACGTTTAAGATAAAGTACTATAATATTATCAGCTTACATGCTCAAACACATAGATTACTTGTAAAAGGTATTCCAGCTACTGGTAAAAGAAAACGAAACAAGACAGCCGAATTTTGCTAAATATAGAATAAAGATATTTAGTTATCAAAGTGGCAATGTCGCAAAAAAATAAGCCTGGCTTCACGTGATTTCATACAGAACGATAAATACAAATTTGCTTATAATGTCACTGAGAGAGACTCAATTTTTCATTAAGAACACCAAGTTATACTTGTCTCGAAAAGACAGTCGAATGTTTTATTTTATAGAGGTGTAAGGATGGGTGATCATGACCCTAATAGCCATGTTATTATTAAACCAATACTATAAACGTATTTTACACGGTCTTTTATCTCGTTTCCTGTGTTGAAAGGTACTTTAATGAGTGTAAAATGTAACAAAAAGAGCTTCTACCAAGTGTAAAAGATCTAAGGACATAAAACCTATTGAAAAAGAACCTAATCGCTTTTGAAAAGGCTAAAGCCCATTTCACTGCCGGTTTGACTTTTGGTAGCAACAACGCAAAGTTCCTTAAAGAATGTATGGCTTACAGTCCGAAATGACTCATTTAGACGAAAATAGAACAGTATTTGCTTGATCATTAGGTAGCCTTCATTCTGTTCCAAAAATATACAATAAGTTATATACGAGTCACTTTGTGCTTGTGTAAAAACATCAGCGGGAAATTTCCTGTCTTACCTAATGCAAACATTGGCAATTTTACAGTTAAACTGTAAGGCAAAGTAAACCAACATTGAGAGCAAAGGTTATTTCTGGTCCAGATGGAAGTATGAGGACTACTTGCTATGTTTCTATATTAAATAAATTTGTTCGCTTAAATTCAAATATTGCAGTTAAAAACGAGGCCAAATTATGCTCCTCACAAGTTGAAGTAAAAAAACTAGATTTTCTGTCAGGATTTCGAGAAGTCAATAAAAGAAACAAATGAGGAAATCAATAAAAGAAACAAACAATAAAAATGTGAAGAGGACTAAATAAAGCATTGTAAGTGCATTTTTACATTTGTAAGAGGGTTCTTCAATCACAACGGTTGTTCAAAAGTAGGGACTTGAGTACAAGCGCGGAGGAATACTATTAGTGGGGCCTCGCGTACCAGTGCGCAGGACTACATTTTATCATTAAACGAGCACATTTTTGATCACACGGAGCATATTGACACATTTTTATCCGCAAAAAAAAGAAGTGCAACTTAATAAATTAGCAGATATAATATTATTATATTAAGTAGATTGTAGTGTTTTAACTGAATGAAGTTGTCTTTTCATAAAATGATTAGACCACCACGATGGTGACACCTAGTTTAATGTTTGTTTTATTTGCACAAGATGTCCTCTTGCACCTCGTAAATTCCTCCTCAAAAACATCAATACAGGGAATTGCACATGCGCACTTGACTATGATTTTTAAAATGATTTAAGCTGTATTTTGGAAATTTATTACATTGGTTGAAATTAAAGCGAATGTCGGGCAGAGCGTCTTATGATTTTATATTTATTTTCCTCAAATAATCCTTACATAACTTGAGTATGGTCATAACATAGAATTTTGTCAATATTATTTTTTCAAGATCGTGATAAGATTTGGTTTAAAGGCTCGTAAATATCGCGGAAGGGTTTTTTATTATATTTTTTATTTAATTGCGGAAGGATTTTTTGACCGTCGGTATATTATGATATTGCAACGGATACGGGATACCTTGTGCGTTATGGAAAGCATCGTAAATGCTTTTGATTGGTAAATCGGAACAATCAATAAAAAATGGTTTCGGTCCTTATTGAACTCCTATAGTAATTTAACATTAACTCACAATCTAAAAGAAGTGAAGGCAACAGTACTATTGGCTTTAGAGAGTATTTGTTTGTAACGGCGATTCCCATTGGACAATCGTAGCGTTGATAATTTCTTAATTTGTTGACGCAAATTTATGAATTTATTTTTAATTTCCGTCATTAAAGTAAATGTGCGATATTATTAATTTGTTATATAGAGTTTCGACGGGTTGTATAGACTTTTATAAATTGTTGTTTCTAAACTGACCTTACAACAGGAACATATCATCTCCCAATATATATACATAATTATAACTTATAATATATTTATATTTTTACGTATTTCATAAAATAATAACTTCAATAGATGTCCATGGTGGTCTAGAAATGAGCAGTGTTGTACAAATAAAAAAAAAACAAATAAAAAATATATGTGTAAACATGATTGATGGACTTATCAAGAAACAATGTTATAACAAATTACTCGCATGTTTATAAACGTAATCAATTCAAATTTTGTCAGGGAAAAAATGCCCGCTCGGCTTTCATAGAAGCCAGATGTCCCTTTAAAACTTAAAACAATACATTAAATTTATTATTTGATTGATAATTATTATTCAAATGCATACGATATGTCGAAAACTATGTAATTTACTCATAGCATTTTGACCCAGGCATTTTTTGCGATAATATGAACATTGTTTTCCAATCGTTACTTTTCGGCAATTTCCGTCAAACTTCGGGTTAGGCTTTTGGGTAATAGGCAAGTTGTTCCGAATAGCAATTTTTAAAATAAACAAGTGTAAGGTATGGAATATATCTGTATAAAAGACAGTGTGATTTCATCATTAAAAATATAAAGTATATAGGTAGTTTTTATAAGAGAAGAATATGTCACAGAGGTAACACATACCTTATGATGTTCGAGGGCGTCCAAAGCCCTCGAGTAGCCATCTTTTGAGTAAACACAGAGGGCAGAAAGAAGCTCGATCACTTGCTGTTTTACCGTTACATTATCCGTGGAGAGTGCTGTAAATAAAATAAAGAATATTAAATGATATTATATGATTAATATCAAGTGATATGATTTGATTTTAGGTGATTTGATTTGATATAAACCGATATAATATGATAGAAAGTGATAAGATTTGATATAAAGTGATATGATTCGATTAAAGTGAGATTTGGTATAAAATCATGTGATATGATATGATTTGATATGATTTGTTATGAATTCATTTGATATGGTAATATATTATATTAAGATATGATTTGATATGATATTACATTAGGATATGATATGATATGATATGATATGATTGTATATTATATCATGGAATGATATGAACTGATGAGGTAAAATGTTAAACAAGGTTCTGAAATAAGAAGTGGGGTGATGTGTTATATTATGAGTTAAAACCAAAAAGTACAACTTTCAAACTGAAAAGAAAATGGCTCCCCAAAATAGTCACTATATAAACAAAATATAGTTCCTACTTCTGAATTCGGTACATGTACATTCATTTTATATTTTTCACTGACTGAAGCTCTTTTTACAGTAGTGAATGCAAAATCTTTGATAAATTACCGACGCTAGTGAAACACTTAACCTTTATTTTCATCACAAATAGTTTTATTCATTAAATAAAGTAATATGTATTTGTGACACATCCCTTTAAATTCCCAATCTTAAACCCGGAATTCATAAGTTATATATTTTAATCGCTCATATTCTGTCAACTACAAAAACACACATCAATCTTCTCTATTTTCATATATACAAATTGTTCCCAAGTTATAAAATTTACCATGTCATATCCTGTTTATAAATTCATATTTTTTTCAATTTTGAAATCACGCGCCTTTTAAATGGCCGCATAACCACAGGGATCTGCAGTGATTAAAGTTCAAGGTTAACACTGAGATATTTAGGACTATCCGACCGCTTTTTAATGGCCCCTAAATTTAAGTCTTTCTTGTGAACTACAAAACTTACAAAAAACGATACAATTCTGTTTCTGTTTTAAAAAATAAAATTTCAAAATGGAAATATGACCTTGCTTAGTAAGCCCTTTCACAGGTACATTGTACTGCAAGCAAGCAGACGTCAACAATAATTACTTATTAACGACATATTGTTTTCTTTCTTTTTTATTCTATTCCTGAATTTCATTGTAAAAGATATTTGTCCCCACTTTAGAAACCATCTCTTTTTGAAATTACATTTCATTATCCATTCAGAAAAGAAATTCTGAAAAAGAAAGACGCACTTCCGCGACTGATTGTTGTGCTTGGAGACGTGCAGAAAGATTTTCGTCTTAAAATCGCACATTTCGTATAATAACTTTTCGTGTTTTATGACGAGAGAAGGTTATGATTTCAGCTACTTTTATCAGCTCCAACAAAGCAGGAAATAAAGCGCATTGTATTAACTTTTCACTTTTGCACAAGAAATTATAAAACAATGTCAACATTCAACATTTCAAATGTAAATTTTTTTTTGGTTGTTTGTTTGCTTTGTGTGTTTTTTTTTTTGTTTGTTTAATGGCTAAAAGATAACAACAACAATCTAATTATAGCTTGACTGAGACTTGAACACCGGACTTAGGATGAACATTCAGCAGTCCTACCAATCAAGTTGCCTATCTTTCGCTATATCATGGCAAGTCCTAGAATACGACCTTTTATAAAACTGTTATTTTCTATCTTAATACTAATTGTACTTTATCATACTTATGTTCATTTAGTTCTATTAAAGTGCCAAAATTAAAAGAGAGAAAAAAGCTAACATAAATAAAAACACAAGAAAAATAATATCAACCTCACGCGCGCACGAGTCATATGGCAATATGGCAATAACTTTTATAGTCATTTTAACTTATTTTCAATTCAATATGACATTCTTTCCTTTGCGATATCAATCTCTTTGATTCTGTTATGTTTGTAAATAATTTGCTTTATAGATTATTACATTTCATTTCTAAGACCAGATAAGGCCAATATTTTCAAATATTGTTATAAGTCTGGACTAAGGTATTTTAGATCACCTGTCTGATACACCTTCATATTAACACCTCTTTTATCTTAGATTTTTCTTTACCCTAGCTGGGATATATCAATCCAATATGAGGTAACACTTTCTAACACTCTGTCAATCACCCGGCAAATATATCCCTTTCTAATCGCTACATATCCATATTTAAAGATTATATAATTACTGCTCCCTTATCAAAAATCCGTGTTTAGACTATGGAAGAATGTTCGCTGATTTTACATTGATATAACCAATACTTTATTTTCATTATCATACACAGCGTTTCATTAAAGCGATCATAATAACCGCAATGCTTTTACCCTAATCTGATTGATTATATATTGAATTGTGCTGTTACATTTAGGTGGGCTAGAAATCAAACTTCATTGAATGACTGACGCCACAATGATTGTAATAGTTACAGTTTAAGGCTTTAGGTCAGATTGTTCGAAGGCTGAACATTGACGTTTCTACTGTTCTAATATCTGCTGTTGGTAAGACACTTTATCAATATACAAATAAACCAATCCAGTTCCACTATGAAAGCGTTCGAAAGACTCGTGTAAATACTGAACGTTTTTCACGTTTTTTTCGCGCCAAAACAATATGCAGAACGCTTATAACCCATTTTTGAAATTCAGTTTATGGCAAGACCCTTTAAAAATGATAAAATATCAACATACAACATTTACATGTTGTTTGGTTCAAATGGAGCCAGACGTTGACGAACGAAAATTTCATTGAACAAAAACAAAACTTTGGACAGAAATTCATATATCTCTGGTCAATTATAAAATGATTGAAAACAATTTAAAACGTAAAACGTTCTTATACGAATACATGTAACATGCTGTTTTAGTAAAAAATGGAAGCATGAAATATTTCGAGACCTCTTCAATATTGTAGTGTGTTGTAAAGCTCAATATGAAAACATTGAAAGGTGTGAAACAGCTAATCAATGGTAATAAAGTGGCATTCCACGGAGAGTCCTCGTCACCTTGGTGTCTGTATTTGTAAGATAGATTGAAGAGCTGTAGACAATCTAGGGCTTTCTAAAAATGCCCGCCAACCGATAAGCCAAGTCAGTGAAACATGTGAAAGTCATTCATAAAATACCTAACCACTTAACTCGCAGATCTTTAAGTTTATGACATACTACACGAAATCGTGTTGTTGTTTTCATTTTGGGATTTAGTGTTCAGAGACCTCTTCATGCGAGCCTATGATACGAGCATTGAATTGCAATTTATCGTCGTAAGTTAAAAACTGAGAGTTGCACTGCAGATGCGTTGATTAATGCTAGAGAAAGTGTTCTGAGCTCGTGTAAATAAAAACTTTGGCCTTATTTGTTGAACATCGGTTTTGACGGAATTGTTTCAAACTTAATCTTGTTATACAGATTTGTTTGTTCCCGTCATCTTATAATACCAAGGATTTTGTGGAGTACCTTTGACCCTAAAATTTAAAAACAATGATAATTTTGTTTGTCTGTTTGAAAAGGAAATCTGAAATGACGCGTCAAAAATTGAAAATGATTTTTGCAATATTTTCATATACCAAAATAAAAAACTGACTAAAGTAAGGTTATGTTTCTCCTAATTTAAAACAAAGCTGTATGTGAAAATTTTGACGTTCTGCGTTTTTATTTCAGAACATATTTATTAATATTTTAATGTGATACATTACCACAGGAATTCAGAGTTAATGCAACCAGCAAAAAGCCATTCAAAAAACATGCCAGAAACATTAACCAAAACTTGGGGAATTATATTAATACCTATATACGCTCTTCATTACTTTTCCTGTTCACTTAATTTGCATAAATTTTCAAAATTTCAATGAATTCATCGTCGCTGTCAAAGCGTCATGTAGTAAAAAAATGAAGATTTTATCAAAACTTGACGTGTTTCAGGTAACGCTTTCTGCACAAAATAAATAAAGAGTTATATATAGTGATTTCACATTGTTGCACAGTCTAGAAAGATGTTCACTGCAGTGAAGAAACCATGCACGCAGTCATTGATATGCACACCGTGCGTGCGTGCGTTCCGTGTTAAGGTCCGACATGATTTCAACGCATCTTCGCCAGACACAAGACATTCATCTCGTCGGCATGTACTGTTATGCACCTTGGTTTTGAACTGGTACATTCTGTTTCATTAAAGTGACACTTTAAAACTAACGTATTGTTAAGAATAAAAAAAAATGAACACCGTAAATATCTGCTTATGCAAGATTGGACTCGATGCACCTTCAGATGTAATTCTAGTTTATCTGCGTAAATGCACAACATATCTTACCCTCTAAAACACTTCTTCAAATACGATTTAGATTCATTTATTAAGAGAAGCCTGAATCGTTAGTTACGAAGCAATCCGAATTAGCTAAGACCTTCATTTTTCCCGTTATTAAAGAAAAGTTATCCTGATAAATAAAACAATTAAGTATACACAAAATGAAACGTCAGGGCATGTGAATTAAATTGAACTCTTCTTTCTGTCAAAACGGTCAAATGCTTTTTTATTTGCTTTCAATTACAACTTTCAATTATAAATGAATTATCTTAAATTCGATTATGCATAAACAAATGCAAAATAAAAAAAACTCCTTAAATCTCTAATAAAACAGACAGTTAATGATCGGAAATATTTTTATTTTTTTAAAATGACTTTCCGTAATTATAACGTAATATCTCGTAAATCGCAGTAGACGGTTTTTCACAACTTTATCTTGGGCTCAAATACGGGCTAACAACAAGATATTCGTTTTTCTTAAAATAGTATAAAATATGATTTATATTTATCTATTCATCAGAGAGAACTACACGAGTGCACATACATTCTGTCAAGATTTGATTAGTTTGATATTCTGTATTTGACGACCTGTCAGACATACAAAGAGAAGACGGTGTCACGTGGTTTGTTCTTGTTTGAATGTTCATGTATACCCAGATATGTTTGTGAAGTAAACATGCATTGTGGATTAACAGAGCTTA